TGCGACGGCCGCGCCACTGCCATCACCACAACAGCAAAAAGAGTTTTCCCGTCACCTTTTGCCACCAGCTTCTGATGCCATTTGAAATCGAGTATGGCGTCAGCTCCCTGCCTAACTTGGCGAGTGGTTCAATGCTAGATGGCGAGACGGCTCGGTACGCTCTCAAGTAGACACATTGTTGTCAGTGAGTGCTCCACAGAGATCCTGTTGCCGGTTTCTCTTGTGATCAGGCCGCGACCAAGCTGCTCTTGCTCCTATTACCAAGAAGACACTCGAAGTGAAGCAGGGCGGGTCTTGGACGGATATAACAGCATTCCTGGTCGTCTGGACCTCCGTGACATTGATGAAGCGTGTGATAGCGACTGCGAGGAGGCCAGCCAACCCACGACGCTGATTAAAACAGGAGCTTGTAGATTGAGATTCCGATGAGGCTGAAAGGCCAGCATTCGTGCCTTCAGAGTTGACGGGCTTGGCCACGAATGTGACAGGTTCCTTCGTACAAATCATCGACTATGTGACTTCCAAGAAGTCAGGATCTCAAACCCCCCAGCTGCTCCCCTTTTCACCTTGCCAAAATCCTCTCCCTTCATCTCAGAATTCCCCAGTGCTGCGATCTTGCGATAATGGCACAGCAGATCCTCCTCGCTCCGCCTTCTGAGCGGACTCTTTCCCAAGCTGAAAGCCTTGCGGTGGTTCAGATCTTCCTCAACGCCTCGTTGGCCTGTATTGCCCATACAAGAGAGCTGATCCCATGGACGTCGGCCTGCTTCCGCACGCGCTATGTCGATCAGCTCGCCCTTGAAGATCATCCGCATACTGGAGGGAGTTTCTATTCTGCTTTTCAGGCTCTCGCTTCACAAACAGCCGGTAAAGGTCAAGAGATTAAAACCCTCGTCCGCGGAGGGCATCGACACGCTGATCAGATACTTGATATGCTTGTAAGCCCCTGGATATCCATGCATGTTTAGGGAAGCTGGCTAATCCCTGTATAGGAGCAAGGAGTATATGATGCCTTGGATCGAGGTTACCTGGACAGCCTTCGAGTGTTTGTGACTCAGACCACAGAAAAGCAACCGGTAATCGTCGAGACCTACCATTTCGTCTTTGCGTATGACTTTGGCCGGGTTACCGGTGTCCGATTGAGTCCAACAAATCAGGCGTTTGTCTTGGAGAATGTACACAAAAGTTTCAAGGCTGCGATACGGGCGTTGCTTCGCTCACTGAGGGCCTTGCCCCGTCTGCTAGGTGTGATTGTCTCGTCTTGCCCCTAGGCGAGAAACTGACTGCTACTATAGCCCGCCGTAAGTTAGGAATGAGCCTGACGTACAACGAGACATGTCCTATGGTATATCAGCCACCAGGCTTCGTGGACAAAGATAACTGCCAAGAGGCGGAAGGCCAGGCAATGTGTGACGCGCTGCTGAAAGGGGATGAAGATGTCGTCGGTGTGCTAGAATGCGGACACCATCAAGTGCGCGTTGGAGTCCGCCTTCAAGGTGCGAAAAGAGAAAAATCCTCGATCGATGTGCAAGACGCGGAAATGAGCAGACAACTGCAAGCAATGCAGAAGACTTCCTCCAGCCACAGCAACAATCTAGTCTCTACATTGAGATATTCATTTTCCGGATCAAAACGCCCTAAGGAAGGTCCAATACCTAGTGCGAAGCGTGTGAGGGCCGCTGGTCCTGGGAAGCCTTCGCACAATGATCCCGCACCACAGATTGCCAGGGCAAATCTGCTGATCGGGCTGGAAAGCCTTGAGAAATTGAGTTTCGCAGACCTGGAGTCGTCTCGATTCGGAAACACGTCCAGAGATTTCGCGGCTCTTCCTAAAAGTTCGCCAAAGGGACATGGTCTCTGTCTACGTATCACCAAGCTCACGGAGCTTCTCATACACTGCTTTGCCATTCAGAGCGGAAAGACAGATGAAAGTGGGAATGTGTTTGATCAAGACCTACTGGCCAAAGGAAAGATCAAGCGGCTCAGTCGATGGAGTCGCGTCAACTGTGAATGCGGAAGTCAGCATAGATTAGGCCCGATGGTGAGCAGATCGGGAATGTGCAGGGCAACTGCTAACCAGACTAGCTCTACTGCGAAGTATGCGACGGTTGGCAACATGGCAAATGCTACGGCTGCGACGAAAGCTTCGCCTCTGCTACTACAACTGTGCTCAAGGAGCACTTCTGCTATACATGCCTGCTGTTCTCTGAAGGACTAGACGCACCAAACTCTCCCTTACTCATTATTATCTTGCGGATTGCTGTCGGTTATCTCACGACCAAGACCAGTCCGGGATTGCACCTCGATGAAAACTTCCTGGAGACGCAACTGAAACCTCCCCGCTGGACGAAAAAGGTGCTTGGCCAGGCAATGGAACGACTCGTACAAGAACGTCTCGTCGTGCCGCGGGACAGTCGGCTCTTCGAAGTCAGATCGCTCAGCGACTCGGAGATGTGGCAGATCAAAGAGCGATATATGAGCGCATTGGCATCAATAGGGGATCTCTATGAGCCATTTGCAGATCGCGAAAATACGCAAAGGGGTAAGGACGCCGTCAACTTGCTCAAGGCGTATGCTCGTGGAAATGATTATACGACAGCAGAAGGGTGCGAAAAACTGTTAGCGTACGACGAGTTCGGTGATCCAGTATTTCGCTGGGGATATCGTTTCAATTCAACGATCCCCTCTTCAGAAGGCTCCGTCGTTGACGATGGAGCAGCGACGCCAGTACGTCGACGAAAGATCAGTATCTCGCGCATGCTGATCAAGATTGACGGTTCTCCCTCTGCCGCAAGTATGAGCCTCGGAGAATCAACACGTCGATTCCACGACGACCAGGGGAACAACACTGATTTCAGCACAGCCATCTCGACCGCGACTGCCGTCTGATTGTGCTCCAGGAGGGCTTCCATGTACCATAAATCAAGCGGATGAGCGACAAGGGATCCTGAAGAGGTGGCTGGCCAGTGTGTTGTGTCAAGCAGTGGGCTGCCACGAGGAAAAACACGTGGCAATGGCCATGGTGGCTGAGCGGGGGGTCCTATCTCGACAAGGGGTTTGAAATGATGTTTTGATTCTCTGGTCTGGACCTCAAGAACATCCAGGAGAGGAAATCTCCAGAGAGAGACAGGTTTTGCTTGGCCACGATCCGGCGCAGAAGCTATTTGTTGTTGCGAGGTTCAGCAATCTGGGGTTCACCTATCATACCTGCTCGACGTTGTCTTGTAGGACAGGGTGGCTTTGTGCTCAGACCCAGTACGAGGTCCTGTCCTTACCTAAGTAGGTACTCAGAAAATGCTTAACCCAAGAAAGGGAGCCTAAGTACTTGAGCAACTGCTGTTTTTATTTTGCCAGATCAGCCAGACGGGGCTATCTTTCATTTCAAGTGCTCTGAGCGGGGACAAGCCGAGTATTATTACTCGGTAGTTTGTTCCGAGTCCCGTAAGCGAGCAGCTTCTAGAAAAAAAGGTCAAAGACAGGACTCTGAGCAATAAAAGACGTCGAGTGCAAACATCTCGAAGTCGGTTGATTCGGATCTCAGGAAAAGCAACCCCTGACATGGCGGAAGCGACATCGCCCAAAGCGACTGGAAGCGTTTGCGTTACTTTATCCCTTTGGCGATGGCTCGCCGACGGGCATGACGCTACCGAGCTGGCACCCCTGGGAAGATGGCGCCAAAAGGGCCTCATGACCGCCAATGGCTAAAATCAGCAAAGATGTGCTCGATGGGTTGCGAGTACGGGTGGAGTGCCTGGAGTGCCTCGCTAGCCCCTGCCAGGGCCTACCTACTTGTACTGTACTTGGTACTTGGACTTGTTAGGGATCCAGGGCTCAGGGGACCGAGTCGGGCAGGTGAGCATCCTCGTGCTGCTCGTGCAAGGTCCCCGAGAATCCCTCTCTGCTCAGAATCTTGCTCTTGGGGCGTCTCCGTCACGCCGTGACACTAGGAAGAACTCCTCTGTCCCCGTCCTCTCGCTGCTCCTTCCTGGAAAAGGATCTGATTTACCCAGTTTCCCCTGGCCTTCCATGACCGTGCTGGCTAACCTGTTGGCGTACGGTCGGGCCCCTATGTCTCCTCATCTCTGTCCTCTGACCATTCACGACCGCCCACGCAGGGAGTGGCTACCGAGTCTGAATCCTTTTCGTTTGGGAGTACTTAGCATCCGCCACACGACCTGGGGTGGGCTGCAAAGGCGCTTCAAGAACACCAAAAAGAAAAGCCAGAAGGCCCAGAGGAGCATGGCGGCACGGTTGGAACCCTAGCTTCTGGAACAACTCAAGCCGCTGGCAACTTCCACCAGCGTTCAAGCGTTTTCCACCTCGGGCATGGCATCTGATTCAAGGACATCCGGTGCCGACTGACCGTCGACCGATCCTTGTCCTTGGCTAGCCTGGTGCCCATGAGCAACTTTAGCCTCGAAACTTGGGGACATTGGGGCTGTGGCCGTTATCCATAGTCTTTGCCGGTGTCTACCCTCCATTCGTCATCCCGCCTGAAGAGGTCCGGTGGTCCACCAGAGGTTTGATGGCCGGATGGGTGGCTCGCTGCAAGGCGATTCCGGTCCTGGCAATTTGGACTGCTCATCATACACTCCTACTCTGTCGCTGCGATCTCCTCAGCTGCCTCAGTTCAACTGTCAAAGTTTTTTTGTTTCTGAAGTCCCTCGAAGCCTGTTTCGACATATTATTCAGAATCGCCGTCATGATATTTCAGTAACGCCTCAAGAACAACTCCCTTGCAATCCCAATTGACGCCATTGTTCGACTTGTTCGACCTACTTCGAACATCATATCTTTCGCCTCCACCGCCCGTCCTTCTCCTTGTACCTGTTGCAAGAGCGAGTGTGAGACCCAGGGGAATCAACTTGGACAGGAACACTATTGACGAAGAAACGGGCCTGGAGAGGGATACTTGTTGACGGTTGTACTATATACTGCACATCTCGGCATGCAAAAAACAGCAGATGTCAACGCACGTGGCATGATCAGGGAAAACTGATATGGGTGGCGGTCAAAGATTCCATCTGCCGTCTCTGAAACGAACAAAACCCAACGCTCCCCAGCAAGGCTGGCAGCCAGAAGGAAATGAACATAAAGTGCAGCATCTACTTGGGATCACTGAGACTGATTTGAACACGGCGCGGAACCAGAGCATAAGCTCTTCGGCTACTGCGAAGTTGCCGGCGTTGTCGTTTTCCGATGCCACCACCGAGTTGGGTTCTTCTCATCCTCCGACAGAGCAGCTGGATGCAGGTGTAGACCTTCATTTGAAGGCGTCTTCTGTATTGCTGCACGAAGAGTTCCTGCTCAAGGCAGACGTTGCCGGCTCAACCGATTCCAAGCGGCTCAAGACATACGGCTCGTCCTCTACGATTAACTCTTACTACGATGCTTACCAGGCGCCGTTAGCCGTCTCGCAGCAGACTTCAGAATCCTCCAGGCGGGACTTCGCTTTGCGAAAAGGTGCCCCGGTTGTTGTCAAGTCCATGACCCCTGACAAGGACTCCCTGCGTCAATTGAAACTTTTTCGTCTCACCAAAAGTGAGGATAAGCCAGGAACGAAGAAGCCCACGAAACAGAGTCCTCAGCCTGGAGACCCTACTGTAACGATGTTATTCGGCGGCCAGCGTCCGGCGAGGCCCTCCGACCAGACTGGGACGACAAGGCTCTTACACCACAATCATCACTCCAAAACGCAGAAAGGGGTCCGCTTCCAATCTCTCAATGCAGAGAGAACGAAATCGTCTGGTATTTCCGCCTCTCGACAAGAAACTCCATACGTGAAGGTGAATATCAGACGGCCAAAAGCGGGGGCGAAGCATTGGTTCGATGGACTGGAAGGTGACAGCAGCGATGATGAAAGTGTCCATGAACCTGAGTTGCAGCCAAGCTTCGTTGCAGGAATGGAAATGGCTTTCGAAGGTGGCAGGATTGGTCTGATTCCAAAGGAGGGAGCTCGCATCACGACCCATACATCTGAGACATCTAGCCGAGGCACGAGCTCAAGAGCGCCATCCAGCCATTTGCTCCCTTCTTCCGCGGTACCGGCTCGCGTGTCAACCCTTAACGCCAAATCATCAAGGTCCACCCTTTCTCGAAGTGAATCACAGCAAACCTTGTCAAAGCCGAAAGCCTCCTCTCTCGCCTCTACTGATCTGCATAAAACCAGCATCCTCGACTTGTCGTCGTCGGATGATGAGCAGCCACAGCTCCCGGCACAAAGTAGAGAATCTGTAAAAGCTCCCTTGCCACTGCTGCGCGACAGCATAGCTGTTGAATCATTGGCAGAGTCAGAAATCGAGATTGGGACTGCCAAAGCAGTGAGTACGAAACACAATGCATCGGTGAAGGCAACGCCCAGTTTGCGGCGTGTTTATGGCACTCATCCTCGGCGTCCGTCATCATCAATGTCGAAAACATCCCACACGCGGCGGAACCATCGGTCTACGTATCTCAGCGATATATCCTCAAATCCTCCTCCTGAAGATGACGACCTGCTCACTTCATTTCCTGCCACCCCATCAGACCAAGCATCTTCGCACCGACCATCTTTCCACGAATCTTGTTTGTCCGACACTGCCAGCATAGAGAGCAGGAGACTCATGAGCGTCACCCGACAGGAAGAATCTCTGTTGGCTGCAATCCGTTCAAGAAAAGCAGCACTTGGTCAGTCATCAGGCGGCGCAACGGACCGTCGGATACAGCTTTTGAGAGACGTGGAGAAAAAGTCCACAATGCAACAACGCCCGCCGCGGACCTCCGCGGCAGTGGAGGTCCAGTTGGCCTTTCAGGGGCGGACGCACAAACAGGCACAATCTTTAAGTTCCGATGCAAACTTCGATCAGGCTTCTTGCACCACTTTCCAGACAGGATTATCCACCGAGCCCAGTGGACGATATTCACTCGCCAGCTTTCGCACTGGCACTTCTATCGAGCCGGAGACAGAAATATCGTCCTCTCTAGCTACGTTTTCACCTGGGCTACTTGCGCCGTCGAATAGGGGTGCCAATAGAATGAGCCGTTCGACTTTCTTTTCGACGTCAACCAACAGCTCGAGGGACAACTCGCGCAACCGACGGGAGAGCCACTACCTCGCCACATTGGAGAAGCTGCAGGCGGCGCCAAAAAGAGAAGAGGTCTCTTCTCAAGACTTCATTGATTTTCCTTATAATGGATGGATGAAACTTGCGGCGACGGCGCATTGACCCTGGATCATGACGTTCAAAAGTTCAGTTGCATCTCGTTTGTCGTTTCCTTTGTGGGCTTCTAGGAAGGGGAATTTGTGACGACTGTAAAGAGCGTGGTGGATCACTTGTACAATAGGCATGGTTCTGGCTTCTAGGCCACCTTGATTTGATGATGACGAAGGAGGATACTCACATAGTGGATCAATGTACAGTAGGAAACCGGCGGTCTATAGAGCCGGGAATATGGAGGGAATAGCTAATAATGAATGGGCATTGTTATTCGCATGACCGCGCAGGGTGTCTGTGAGCTTTTAGGATCTGTTCCTTGGATATCTTTCCCCTTGACGATCCATCCTGTGAGGCCAGGTGACACCATACAAGGCAACGGGTAGAGCGGGCAAAACGGGGTCTCAGTCCTGGCGGGCGCTTTGACCGCCATACCCAAAACTTGGCAGGCATGACGCAGTGCCAATGAGTTGTAGCAGTTGCGCCGGCTGCGGAAACACCAGAAACCGCCAATCGACGCGCCAAAGAGAATCCCACCACCAGCCACCCTTCGCCAAAGATTTCCTTTGCCTTGGTTTTGGCCAGCTGCCACCAAATTCTGCCTTCACTTATTTCGTGTTGCTCGCGTGTCGGATGACCTTTGGGTCATCTTCACCTCATTGCTTGATCTCCACCACTTGGTTCAACGTGTCAGAAACATATTCCCGTCTCTCACACAGAGAACCTGTCCACTCCTTCAACCCTCCATTCCTTCTTACCGAATGACTGGCTGCTCTGCCTGGCGCAGAGCCTTTCAGCTGGAGACAACAACGACATTGCATCGTTGAAATATTGCTATTACTGGGGGTTTTGTCGCAGCGATCTCAAGCGATGGGTGTGGAAAGGCGCGGCAACGCGCCCAAGTTCATGGGGGTGTCACTCCGGAGTCTGTCATTGAGCACTGTAAGAAGGGTCTCACGACGTCGTCTACTCAGCTTCAGGCTGACTGATTTGTGGTGTAGTTGACAGTACAATTCTCCACCTTCATTTTGGTAAGCCAGGCCGAATACTCTGAAGATAGCACTTGCTTGACTGACTGCCCTGGTGCTGCTAAAGCTTCTGCATTATTCGCGGGTGATGCCCACCTCTGACGGACACCGATATCTTCCTTCAACGGCCGTCTTTCTAGTCGAAGCCCTCAAATTGGCAGTGTGCCTGACAATATCGCTCTACGAAATCTCCCTCTCAGTTCCCCGATCCATGCCTGCGACTTCCCTCCTCGAGACATTGGGTAGTGCCATTTTTGCCGGCGACAGCTGGAAAATGGCTTTCCCAGCTGGACTTTACACACTGGCGAACAGCCTGCAGTACATTGCAATATCTAATCTGGACGCCGCGACCTTCCACGTCACATACCAGTTCAAGATCTTTGTCACGGCAGTTTTGAGCGTCATGCTTCTGCGGAGAACCATTTCGGGAAGACAGTGGCTGTCTCTGATCCTGCTTATGCTGGGAGTTGCAATCGTCTCGCTCCCTCACGGTTCGTCAGGATCCCTAGCTGCAAGCCACCATACGAGAGTCTACCTTCCACGGTCATCGAACCCTCTTCGAGAGCATTTCCGGATGGCGGAGCCCGGTTCCCACCTCAAAAAGAGATCGGCCACATATGAAGGTATCGAAGAAGACGAGCTCGCTTTGAACACGCCCGGCATGGACGCATCTGTCGGACTGTTGGCAGTGCTGGGTGTTTGCATATGTTCAGGGCTAGCTGGCGTGTATTTTGAGAAGGTCATTAAAGAGTCGCCAAAGAATACGTCCCTCTGGATCCGAAATGTGCAACTGTCGATATATTCTCTCTTTCCGGCATTCTTCATTGGAATCGTCTTTCTTGACGGCGAAACAGTTGCAAAGTATGGTTTTTTTGCGGGTTATAATTGGGTGGTGGTTGCGTCAATTGCCATCCAGTCCTTTGGTGGCATCGTCGCGGCGTTCTGCATCTTTTATGCCGATAACATTTCGAAGAACTTTGCTGTTAGCATCAGTATGGTCCTCAGCAGTCTGGCCAGTTTCATGTTCTTTGATTTTGCCATGACCGGACATGTAAGCGATCGTGATTTATTGGTATCTGCAGGACCGCTAACAGTTTCTAGTTTCTGATTGGAGCCTCGATAGTTCTCATCGCCACTTGGGTCTATAATTCCGAAGAAGCTCGACTCCTACAAACTCCAGCAGTCAGGGTCAACGAGAAGGAGAAATTATCACTTAATGGTACAGCGGCGTTAAACGATATGTCTATCCAGATCCCCAAAACTCCTCTGGTTCAAGAAGAGACAGCTCTGGCGACGTCGAGACCGGGTTCACCGAGCCACAAAAAGAGGAACAAAGAGCCTCTCGGCTATTTTCCGAAGCATCATGATTGAATCATGACCGTTGCGGGACAGACGCTTACGACTGGACATGAAAGGATAGACTTTGGGTATACCACTTGGGAAAAGGATGAATGCTGCAACACGAGCACCTGCCAGGTAGTGGCAAGAAAAACTGGGGTTGACGAGCAGCCGGGGGACGTGCGGCGCCTTCTCTGAGGACGGAGAAGTAAGTGATCTATCAGTAACCTATTGACCGAGGGAGGCTGCTTCTCAGAGAAGTCGAAGAAAAGGGGCACGGTCACGTGCTCCTATTTGGCTGTCCATCGCGCCTGCCCATTGAAACTCTGACCTGCACCTTGCCCGCCTGCATCGTCCCTTTCAGTTTGCTTGAGAATATCTTCACTTCGACGCCTCTGTCACACAGTCACTTACCTCTTCTTTTTCTTCCTTGCATGCTCTTTACATGGGAACCCGCTTCGATTTGTGCCATGGATGGTGTCCGACGGCTTCCTGCTGGTTATCGACGAGATTCTTCCTACTTTTCTACCCGTGATTCACGCACGCCACGGCTGCTTGAAAACGGATACAATTCAAATGGCTCTCACAATGTCTCCCAGCGACAATCGCCTTACTTTGCTCCGCCGAAACCTGTTGAGGCAGGCCTGTTTGACCCTCACCCCCCACCTGAGGAAGTTGAGAGAGCAGTCGACGACTTTGGTAAGTCACATACTCCTTAGTGTGTCATTCAAGGTGCTAAGGTCCCAATTAGACAGAACTCTGCTTGAAAAGAGCGCAAGAGGGCAGAACATTGCGGAACGATCAGGCCTGACTCGAATCTCGCTTCCCCGCAAGCCTCTCACACCGTTAATGACCGGCAGCACGAGACGGGTTTTACAAGGTGAGCCACACTCCACGTGAAGAAGCTAGGCTCTCATCCTGAATGTAGATGACCTGCACGACGACCCAATCCTCCAGGCAACCAGCTCCTCCTCCACCGCCCTTGCCACGAGTCCAACAGTGTCTTTTCTCCAGAATCGTCGACGTCACAAAGACAATCCATCTGTTCAAAGTAAGACCTCTACCTCAAGACCAAATGAGCTCCCAAGTGAGGAGGTCAGATCCTCCTCAAACATAAGCACTACAAGCAAGAGAGCAAGCCAAAGATTATCGCTGAGCAGTCAGCCGGTCCGGGCTCCACCAGTCGTCCAAGGAATTCAGCTAGTCCCAACTGCTGCATTGCCAGACCAAATTCGTTCAGTGTTCAAGTTCGAGATCTTCAATGCTATTCAGTCAAAATGTTTTGAAAGTGCCTTCCAATCTGACGACAATGTCGTCGTCTCCGCCCCAACCGGCAGCGGAAAGACTGTTGTCATGGAGCTAGCTATCTGCAGGCTAGTGGCACAATCCAAAGGTCAAGACTTCAAAGTTGTATACCAGGGCCCTACCAAATCGCTATGCTCAGAAAGATATCGTGATTGGGAAACGAAGTTCGGTGCGCTCGATTTGCGTTGTGCCGAACTTACAGGTGATAGTAACTACAGCGACATGGTCAGTGTGCAAAAGGCAAGCATTATCATCACAACTCCAGAGAAATGGGACAGCGTGACTCGGAAATGGAAAGACCATGCCAAACTCATGCAGCTTGTTAAGCTGTTTCTTGTCGACGAAGTGCACATCCTCAAGGATGAGCGTGGTGCTACGCTTGAGACAGTCGTGTCAAGGATGAAGTCTGTGAATTCAAACATCAGATTTGTTGCATTGTCGGCCACCGTGCCGAATTCAGAGGACATTGCAGTCTGGCTGGGGAAAGACCCTACGTCCCAACACTTACCGGCGCACAGAGAGGTCTTTGAGGAGAGTTTCCGGCCTGTCCAGCTCAAAAAGCATGTTTATGGATTTGACGTGAAAAGCAACGATTTTGCTTTTGACTCGATGTTGACGCACCAGTAAGAGAACCCTCCGAACTCGATTCGCATCCTCATATTATACTAGGATACCTGAAATCATTGCAAAGCATGGACTTGGGAAGCCCGTTATGATCTTTTGCCCTACTCGGCGGGCTTCAGTTACAACCGCTAAGGTGATGGCGGACACATGGTCAAGCTCTAATCCAGCACAACGGCCGTGGAGTGGACCGGGAAAGCAGCTCACCTTAACGTGCCCTGATCTCAAAAGTATTTAATCACATCCCCCCTCACAGCTCGTTACGGACTGACTGTCTCTCCACAGCCACGTCTGTCGCAGGAGTAGCATTCCATCATGGAGGATTGAGTGCATCAGATCGCCACACAATCGAAAATGCATTTTTAAACGGACAGATCAATATCATCTGCAGTACTTCGACGTTAGCTGTTGGCGTCAATCTGCCCTGCTATCTAGTAATTCTGAAAGGAACAAAAGCCTGGACCAACAATGGCTTCAAAGAGTATGCAGACCTAGAAGTCATGCAAATGCTCGGTAGGGCAGGCAGGCCGCAATTCGAAACTTCAGCATGTGCAGTTATTCTCACTCGAAAGGAGAAAGTCGCCCGCTACGAAAAGATGGTGTCAGGTGAAGAATTGTTGGAGAGTTGTCTTCATCAGAATCTTATCGAGCACCTCAACGCAGAGGTTGTCCTCGGAACTGTACATGACATAGCAACAGCAAAGCAATGGCTAGCGAGTA